CGCATACCTTTGCTAAGGAGGGGCCGGCTGGTGGGAATCAGCGTCTCCGCCACTGTGCCCTAGGTCTTAGTGATGAGGACTAGATGATGGTCCCTGGGGACAAGGAGGCACTGCCCCGTGCTCAGAGCCACAGGGAGGGCAACAGCCAGAGAGAAGCAGGTGTTCTGCCTTCTGACCCCTGAACCGTCCCCTGCACTTGTCCTCCACATTCGCCCCCAAGAGCTGAACATAAGACTGCAGTGATTTCTGACAAAGGCGCCAACGAGACACATGGGGAAAAGGCAGCCTCTTCCAAAATGGCGCAAGACAGCTGAGCGTCCCGGTGCAGGAGATGCAGCCCTTGGAGCGCTAAGCCTCACCGGTCAGAAAAATCAACCACACGTGGACTAAAGGGTAAGCCCAGCCTCATGAGGCCTCCGGTCCCACCCCCGACCTGGGAAAAGAACGGACTTATAGGCTGGTGGTAGGTGTGGAAATCGGTACAGCCATGGGGGAAAACAGTATGAAGGTTCCTCAGAAAACTGAGAGAGAGCTACCATGTGGCCACCCAACCCCGCTGCGGGTACATGCACACCCCAAAGAAGCAAGGTCTGTAGGTCCAAGACACATCTGCCCACCTGCGGTCACCAAGATACACGCTCAGCCTATGCCAATGTGGTCCCTGCACACGACGGCGTTCTATTCCACTGTAAGGAGGATAAAATCCTGTCCTCTGGGACAACATGGTGGGCACAGAGGACATTATTTGTACAGAAATAAGTCTGGTACCGAAAGGCAGCTACCGCATGATCTCCCTCATATGTGGAATCTAAAAATGTTGGCACCATTACAGTAGCAGCCTATATATTCATCAACAGGTGAGTGAATAAAGAAAATGAGGAATTTACATACAGCAGAGTGCAGTACCCCTCTGCCAGAAAGAACGAACTAGAGTCATTTGTAGGGAAACGGTGCTCCCTGCGACCATAATTTTAAGTGAATCAGACAGACTCAAAACAAAGAGCAAAATGAAAGACAGACAATAGGAAGAGATGGAGGAAGGGGAGGAGGGGGAATGAAAAGGAATGAAACGGGCAGGGGATTTAGCTCAGTGGTTCTGCTGTCCGCCTTGGAAGCACAAGGTCTTGAGTTCGATCCCCAGTACCAAAACAAAAGGAAAATGTAAAAGAAAAGGGAAGGAAGACATGCTGCTGTGTGCATGATCCAACTTTACACAAGGAACGCAAACATTAGCCTCTGCACTTGTGCACTAATACAAAGGGAGAAAAGTAGAAAGTGGAATAAGGGTTCCCAGAGCTGGGAGACGGGAGAGGAGACCGGAGAGGCTGAGCAGTATGTTCGTCATTAAACAAAAATGTATTGAATATCTTAAAACAACTAGAAGAAATGACTTTGAATGTTCTTTCCACAAGGAAATGATAAAAGCCGAGGTGGTGGATATGCCAATCACCCGATTGATCCATGATGTGATGTAAAAGAGCATCAACACTGCAAACGTACCCCATCAATACGCGCAACTAGAATGTGTCAAAACCAACCCTACGCATATGGGAGCGCTAACCCGCCGCGGGGGCAGGGAGCATCCAGCCAAGTCTCAGCTCTAGATCTGCATTGTTTCTGCTCTTAGCAAAGACTCTTGTGTCTACAGAGTTGGACTGAATTCTTCCTCGTTGCTCAGAGATGTGCAATTGTTGTTGATTTTGTGAGAAGTTTGAGAAGGAAATTCAAGGACCCCGTGAACTGGGATTCTGGGGTCTCATCTCTAAGGATTACCCGTCAGCATCAGTGCTGTTTATGGTCATGGACAATCCATGTTTCTGTCTCCCCATCTCAGGGGACGGGCAGCAGGAGGTGGCTCCAGGACAGTCCGCAGGCCTCCAGGCAGAGGCAGGAAGGGAGGAGACAGTGTGATCAATCTGCAGGCTCCAGCCGGGAAAGTGGGAACAGAGAGCTCCTTCACTCTGCTGACATGCATGCCATGAAGACATGGGCCTTCAGAAAGAATAAGGCCATGACATATTTTCTCATGTTAAAAAGAATCTGTAATCCCAGCTACTCTGGAGGCTGAGGCAGGGGGACTCTAAGTTCAAAATCAGCCTGGCCAATTTAGCATGACCCTGTCTCCAAATAAAATGTAAGTAGGGATATAGGTATAGTTCAGTGGTAGAGCACTTGCCTAGTATGTGTGAGTTTAATCCCTAGCAAAAGTAAGAAGGAAGGAAGGAAGGAAGGAAGGAAGAAAGAAAGAAAGAAAGAAAGAAAGAAAGAAAGAAAGAAAGAAAGAAAGAAAGAAAGAAAGAAAGAAAGAAAGAAAGAAAGAAAGAAAGAAAGAAAGAGAAAAAGTGTTGGTGGGGCAAGCAAAATACACTTTCTAATGTTTTACTCTGGATTCGTTGCCAGCCTTCATGGAATTATTATTCATATTAATAAACAAAAGCTAGAGTCCCAGTTCCATCAAATCAGAAGACTGGCAAGGCTGCTGACATCTGTCTGACTAGCTAACCCCCTCCCGCGCTGGGCTCTGCAGCCACAAACCGGCCTCGATGCCTGGACCAAGGTCTCCCCCTGACTTCCGCCCAGGGAGCTCTGCAAAAATACCCACCGCTGGGCTCAGGCCAGGGTGTCACATGACAACCTTTTCAGAGCACTCTTACTCAATCATAATCTGTTTTTTATTAAAAAGGGACTTGCTTGCAAAACTCTGAAAACCACACTCTAGGATGGATAATCCAGATTTGAGGCAAATTCAAATATCAAGCTTTGTTTTGAGGCCAGGGCTGTAATTTGATGCATAAATTTAAAGTGGCGGTATGAATGCCCATAGAATTTTAGTTTTTAATCTATAAATTAAGTAATTTCCAGTCAATTGAGTAGTCAGTTTTAGGCATTTTCTAATCTACATTTGATCACTGCTTCTCTGAGTTTTTATTTTCTGTTTGTTTTTTTATTTGAGACAGGATCTTGTTATGTAGTTCAAGCTGGCCTCAAACCTGTGGCAATCCTCCTGCCTCAGCTTCCTAAGCACAGGGATTACAGTTGCATGCCCCATATCCGCTGCTTCTGTGAGTTTTGAAAAATGTTTTCATTTTATATGCTTTTCCTTTCTTCCTCCATACTTTCATTAAGTCAAGCACACACCTCAGCCTCTTAAACTAAGGGTTAGATATGACTCTGCTGCATAGACAGGACTGTGCCCTGCCTTCTTTGTGGCTGAGCAGAGGTGTGGAAGCCAGAAGTCTGTCCACAGTTCACTGCTGACGTTCCCCACAGACCCTTCCAGAGACTGCAAGGTCTTTGGCGGCCAGCAGGCCCGACACTGGGCCCAGACACGAGAAACCAACACCAAGAAGCTGAGCTGCAGAGACCGCAACAGGCCGCCTGTGGGTCAGAAAAGAGCAGATCCGAAATCTCCTTTCCAGACAAGGGATACAAGTGAACCTGACACTGACGCCGACACTCCGGTCAACCAAGGCTTCTGTGCTGTTGTTTTCCTCTCTGGATTGGACACCCAGGTCCTTGCAGTGACTTAGGTACCAAGCCCCTTTTCACTTTGGAGCCACGTCTCCTTGAGTCGCTAAGCTGTCCAGGCTGGGCTTGGTAAGCATCACTGGGCCCAGTCCGCAAAGGAGATTTGTAAAGAAACGTATTAGCCGCACACTCAGCTCTGCGGAGCTATAAGTCCTGTCCAAAACCAAACATGAAAGCCAAGCTGGACTTCAAGAGTCCCTCTTGCCATCCGTGGGCAAGAACAAACCACACCCCTTCCCATCGTACTGGGGACAAAGCCGGGAACTAAGATCTTTTCAGCTCTCCAAAAAATGCTGTAAGAACAGGCTCAGTGTGCCAGGGTAGGGAGGGAAGGAGCGAGTTCGGGGCGCGGTGGCAGCCTGAAGGCCACGGGGCGCTGCGGTCCCCCAAACCGGTACCCAGCCAGGCGCCACTGCCCGCCACACCTGGTTCCCGCAGGGCGACGGCTGCGCTCGCGGTGCAGTGCGCAGAGGTCCCCTCGGGCGGGAGCTCACCAGCCTCATCCCTCTGCTTCCGCCTAATGTAAAACACGGCCTTGCCCCTTTCTCAAACAACAAACAAACACAGCCAGAGTTGGGGGCTGGGCCGCGCTGTCTGCACCCGGGCCTCGGCCCCAGGTCCTTTGTGCTCTAATCCCCAGGCCGCGCCCTGAAATCCCGCAGCCCCGGCTGGCGCCG